ATCTAACGTATTTTTCCGAAAAACTGTGTCTCTGATGGACGGAAATTCAAAAAAGATGAAGAAAGTTTGATCCACGATTAGTTTGTCAAAGGCACCGGATCTTCTTCTTTTTCTTCTTCGTTCTTTCTCTTTATAACGGCGGCAATTCATCGATGACACTCTTCACTTTGGATACACAACAAATCAGCGTCATAAACGTTTCTATTTTTCTTTCGAGAATTTCGAAGGTCTCATTTTTAATCGAGTGTCAAGATTTGCGATAATTAACAACAAAATCGCATGAAGAATCGAATGAAAGGTCAATGCAAAAAAATTCTTCAAAATAATACTCTGGCATACAAAAATGCCAAATATTATTGTTTAGTATTATATAAGAATTGTCAATTATTGGTCGGATTACAATTCGTATTGTAGTACAGAACAGAATTGTAGTAGGAACCAGTTGTTGGAGCAATTCGTTTATACGTACTTCTCTTCGACAACTTCCAATCGACTTCCAATCGTTAACTTCGCAAGTTATTGCATCGATAAGATCACGCTCCAAAAATGAAAACCCTGTCACTTGCGAATATTTTAAGTTATTGACTCATATACAAATATTTTCAAATTGTTAACCACGCGACGAAAAGCATCAAATCGAATTGAACTTCTTGCGCATGCAAGATTTAAATCGCAAAGACGACGCGCTTTCGAAGAAAACGCGCGAAAAGCGCTATAATGATCACGTGGACGTCGTCGGTAGCTTTCGCAGTGCGAGAACAACCACGAGCAAAAGATAAAGAAAAGCTGAAAATATCGTCCAGTCACTGTTCAAACACCGGTCTGTGCAGCGCGATCGGCCAGCAAACGCGACGAATTCGAATCGTGTGAATCCCGATGACACGGATTAAAAAATATCAAATCCAATGGTTGAACCTGCGCGAACGTTTCTCGATCGACTCAAAACGTTATTCTTCGAACAAAATGGACTTTCAAACTAATAAATATTGACGTCGAGGACGTTTTGCGAGCCAAATAAGCTCGTCATGATAGTGGCACGCGAATAATGTAACTCAGCGTTATCGCTCTGCGCGAACGAAGTTAAAAAGTCTCTATTTCACTTCCAAACACTGAGAAAAATTTCCGATTGAAAATGAACGAATCAGAAAATTACAATCATATCAATCAGAGTTCTGGTTATTTCAACTCAAGAATTCAACCAGAAAATTTTGGTTTGGTTCCATTTTAAACCAGGATTCCAATTAACGCAGCCAGAAACTGTTCTTCCAGTATGAAGTATTTCGCGAAATTCTGTTTGGACGAAGATCCCAAAATGTGGACACTTTCAGACAGACGTATATGTGACAGTCGTTAAACTATCTAAGGTCGTAAAACTATAACACACTCTCTGGGAGATATTTTATTTTAAAAAAATCCGTATCTCCGAAATGACCGATTCGAAGGAGAGAAGATTGGGCGAAATTATCTTCCAAAGACGTCGCCTGGAGCTTCGAGTCGCTCGTGTGAGGAAACGATAATATCACCCGGATCCGCGAACGTGGTTTACCTCGCGGAGTGCGGGGCTTTTCAGTCAAGGATCGTCGATCGTTGCGACTGCGGCGCGAAATCGCTTGTGACGGCGAGACGCAGCGAGCGCGCGCTTCGCGAGCGCCTCTGACTGCCCGGCTGGACGGTCGTGAGCCGACTGATAGGTGTATGAATGAAGCGGCCGAGATTTCAGTCACTCTCTGTATTTGCAGGAAATTCAAAATCCTACATCGGCGGCAGACGGCGACGGCGGCGAAGACGATAGTGGGTGTCGCCGCCGTCTGCTTCTTTTATACGATCGATTCCTCGGATTCGCGCGACGCTCGCTGACGTAAAATCGCGCAACGAGTTGCCGCGCTCTCGCACATTTTCGCAACGAAATTTCGACGCGGTTTTGCTGCTTGTGGGAAACGCAGAGATCACGTGGATTTTGCGGATTTCCAGCGGATTACGCGATCTTTATTCTATCGACGAGGAAAGAAACTTTATCGTACGAATATGTAAAATCAGTACGTGATTATCGTTAATTTTACTGCACGGGAAGAATTTTCTTCTAAAATTTATTTTGAAAATATGATAGTTGTGGTATAATAGAATATTTTAAAGATTTTTACACTTCAATAAAATTAATCAAACTTATTTTATACCTTATTTTATACCTTATTGTAATTTTATTAATAAATGAGAGAATTTACATTAAAATTCTTCGAAATATAATATTATCCCACGACAATCATATTTTCAGGATGAACTCTAAGAAAAAATTCTCTCCGTGTAGTTAATAATCTTACATTTTCTTAGAAATAATCTCTCTGAATTCTTCGAAGTATAGAATCTCATTCTGAAGAGTGAAAATTAAGCCAATCTTAAACAAGAGTGGCTCAATTTTCAATCTTGAAGGGTGTGAGATTTCATTATTCAAAGTGACATTCTAAAAGCTTTATAGAAGGAATTTTATAAAAAAATTAATTCTACGATAAGCACCATGCGAATCGCTTCGATCTTTTGCGCCGCCACTGCCGATAAAATCATAATTGACGGTTCAAGATAGTACCAGATTGTACTACAAATCGTAACTACAGCCTTATACTGTCAAACGTTTCTTCTATAAACACGACGACTGATAATATTAGCGAAAGACTCGAGCGACTTGCGCGACGACAAGAATAAACATCGTCCGTATCAACTTGAAAGCGGGAAAACGAGATTGACATTTCCCCGTGAATGTTTAATTCGACGAAAAGAGCGTAGTTTGACTTTATCAAAGACGCGAGAATCTCAACTTCAACGTAAGATATCTAATGAGTCAGGTTGTGGGCGATGACCTTTTCCTTTTCCACATGCCTTCGTCGTTTCGCTCGCAATTGATTTAAAATTTCAATAGTGCAAAAAGTATTCGTACAAGAAAGATTTCTTTAAAAGAAATTTTAAAAAGTAAACATTAATTTGCAATTAAAAAAGCATAAAATAGAGAGAGAGAGAGAGAGAGAGAGAGAGAGAGAGAGAGAGAGAGAGTATATATTTTTCTAAATGATTTTAGCTAAAAATATGTGTAATAATTGAAACATTATTAATAGAATGCGGATATTTATTGCAAAATATTTAACTGAATATTAACAATTGGATAGTTTTAACAGATCGCAGTTGTTCGTTAACGAGTTTATTATATTAATATTAAAAAGTAAAAAGATTAAGATTGCCATCTGTAAATATGCAATTTATGCAAAATATGTATTTTATGCAAAATATTCAATTAAGCATTTTGCATAAATATCCACAGTCTAATTATTAAAAATAAACAAAAATAAAAAGTTTTCTTATGTAGACAAAAATTCGTACAGTCGAGAAATTTAGTTTGTAAAATTATGTACATGCAAATCTGTTTTGTTTGTATTAAGGCAACCTCATTACATAAAATTGCTAATTAATATTTATTTTCTGTAGATCAGGTTTTTTTTAAATAAAAATTTCTCTCGAATACGTTTTGCATTCACTGTAGTGAACGTTATACATACAAAATATGAGTGGTTAGCCTTGACCATCGCGAATTCGCCGAACAATTCGCGAACGTATGTCGATTGATGGAAGAATAGTACTAATTGACTATCAAAGGGATGCGATAATTTTGCCTTTCACATAATGTTTTCGAGGACGTCGACGATACTTCCGATCGCGATCAGATGATTGAAGATATGAATAGTGAGAATATAATACCCGATAGCGATCGATCACGCTCTGCTTCCTCAATTAGGAAGGTATTTCAAATTATTTCTGTGTATATCGAGTTTTTTTACGCGATACATATAAATCTACATGAAATATTAATGCCCGTTTTCATCAAGATAGATTATATCAAGTTTGCTCGTTATAATTTCCACCAAGATCTCCCAAGTAGATCAACTTTAATCTTGCCTCAACTTATTGTTCGTCTTTTTGAATCTTAAAAATCAGATTATTTTTATTTTCAACGACATACTGTTAATAAGATTATATCCTACATAAAATAATTTAAAATGTTATTAAAATTAATTTAAGTTGATAGAAAACCAAGTATAAACTAAATTAATAACATTTTACATAAAATTATAATATATATAAGGTATATGAATTTCTTATCAACAATATACGATATCATTGAAAATAAAAATAATCTGATTTTACTTAATGTGACAGCGAATATATTATAATTTATAATTATATTATAATTTATGATCATACGTATTTATGATCATACGTATTATGTAGAATATATAATAAAGTTTTGCATAATTTATATCACGATAGCAAAAAGAACCAAATATTTCTTCGTATTCGTACGAACTATGCTACTTTGGAATTAAAGGTTTTCCTTCTATACATATACACGTTTATCGTGCACCTGCATCGCGTGTAATTTTTTTCTATATTTTATGAAGCAATTGACATCGCATTTGATTAAACAAACCTTCCTCTTCCTCAATAAGAACGACCCTGAATTTTTGAACTTTAGCAACGCAGAAATTACTTATCGTCGAATATGCATAATTTTCGATCTAATGAAATCGACGTTATTACGAACCGCGGAGCGGAAGGCGTCGGGACATAAATATTTATGAATGACTGATATTTTTTAGACATGTAATCAATGTAAAATCTGAAGGGGAATCCACAGTAAAAATATGTGGTTTGCGGATCACCGTTGTTCAGCGCAACACCCGTTTTTATGACGCTGAAAAAACGTGAAGTGACTCATACAATATTCTTAACGACTTCAAGACAATTTGACATGGTGCTATTGGCGAAGGAAATTATGACAATTATGACAATTGCGTAGAATATAATTACTTTATAAAAAGAACTGCAATTTCGCTCGGTCTACTTACAATTACGTGTGATGGAACGGACAGCAGGAGGCTGGAGAAGAATTGAGATATTAAGAAAACTCGAAAAGAGTACAAACATTATATATATTATGTATAATTCATATAATAAGCATTGCTGTAACAAGATTAACATCATAAGAATATCCCAGTATTTATTTTATTATTATATTTAAAAAAAAGGAAGGCCACTTGTATTAATACTGGTTGTTAATCTAATAATCATGTGAATTCCAGTACAATAAGTCTCAAAAATATGTTCTCTTTGTTCCCAATTTTTGTGCGGTTGACATTATAAACATAATAATTCACATTCGCGCCTCATCTTCAACCTTGGCGGTTCCCCTTGTACGTACTTTATCAAATATATAACTTATCCTAAGAGAAAAGATGATTGTTCGGTACGACACCGTGTCTTTCCTTTGGTACAACGCTATCATTTTGGAGCATTATCAGAGTTGTCTGAAGACGAACTTGGCACAACCGAAGCTATCATAGAGATGAAGAAAAAACAAATGTAACTATGCAGAGGTCAGAAGCATTAACACCAGATTCACAAGTCTGTGTCGCGTACTCACCGATAATGATGATTAAAATTATAACACATATGATGCCAAGGATGAGCATCATTTTCAGATTCTTCCACCAGTACTTTCGTTTCAATTTGCCGGCATGTTGTTCAAATTGCGTCGCACCCTGTTGTAAGGCATCTGCACGGTTTTCGAGCTCCGACAGCTTCTGATCTCGCTCCAGCACCTTCTCCACATTAACCTTCATTATACCTACGACCTCGTCTACAGTGGCCTGAGTCTGCTGCAATTTCTTGCTTGCACCCGCTTGTTGGGGGTTGTGCGGTCCGCCCATTTCTCCTCCTGCACCGCCACCCTCCATAGTCCTGAAAAAATGACAAGGACTCCTTCTGACTAACCTGTTCCAACACGATTTCTGCGCGAACGTTTTGTCAATTTACGACCATTATCCATAGGATTTCAGATTGAACAAAATAAAGTAATATAAAGAATACGAATCTCCTTGCAACAAATTCCACAAAAATCAACAAAATAAATAACAGGTACACGCCCATAACCTCAAAAATCACGCATATGTTTCTGAACGAGCTCTATTTATACGTTTATCAACCTATATAATATTCATTGCTCAGTCTTGTTAATAAACAAAGAGGACCTGCATACGCAAACATGAAAATACGATGGAAATGCAATCAAGAAAAATAACAAATAACATGTTTAATCATTAGCATTACATCGGGAACGATGATCTCGCTACAATGATCTCAATATCGTGTAATATGGTACACTTGCTTTGTTTCTTACTCACCTATAAATATGTCAAATGCACGAACAATCGAAGCTAATTAAATCTGCGAGGCACGATGATATCTAGCAAATTATTTGCGATGACGGCTACCAGTTTACAACACAACAGCGGATGACACAAATCGAAAATGGCGATAATCATGACGTCATGGTTATTATAACGTATTTAGGTATTTATCAAAAAAGGGTACTTAGCAAAAAGGCTCATTATTATACCTGCTCAATCGAGAATCGCTTTTCTTAATTTGATGTAAATAAATAATACAATTTAATATTTATTAATCAATTACAATATCTCGTAGGCTGTTGTCATTGATGGTTTGTCAAAATAGTGACTACCTACGCCATCTAAACGCGGCAATGCGATTTATCTTGATTTATTTTGTCGATAAAAACGGTAGTCGACGAGACACCGAGATGTTTGTTCGTGTTGTTTGAAATTATAAAATATGTATGCACTTAAAATGAAATCGATATATATAATTCGGGTGTTAAAGCGAGAAAAAGCGAAGATGCTGAGTCTAAAAAGTGCAAGGAACGCAAACAGACTACAGTGGCAAAAATTACGTCGCAATCATTAATGTAATAATGTATAGTTATTATAAAAATATATGAATCTCTGAATTAAGTAATTAAATCATATTTATTGTTTGTATCTGTAATAATTAGTTAAGCTAATGGAGTTAAGCTAAAAAAAGTTTACACACGAATATTTAACACACTTTTGCTATTCTCATATTTAAAAAATTTTAGAATGTACATATAAAATATACAATTCAAATATATTTTTTTAATTTTTGAAATATAAAAATAGCAAGCAATATGTATTAAATTTTCATATAAATTTAACAATTTAATATTGATTGCCTATCGTATATTTAAAATATATGTTATAATTGTAAAATATTTAAAATATATGAGAATATAGCAAGCATAATTATAAACATTTAAAATATACAATTATAATGTATACTTCAAATGTACTTTTTAAACTTTGTAGTATATTTAAAATATTCCTCGTCGTAAAGATAGACTTAGATCGAGTGAACGATAAAGCGAACGTACATGAATCAATATTCTGCGACGAAACAAATTTTTATTAAAACAAGTCATTTATTCTGCTCAGTCTAGATCCATTAAATATGTACCTATATAAATCAATATTGAACAAAAAAGCATTTTAAACAATATCTATTTTTATTAATAATGTTAAAAATATATAAATATAATGAAATGGAGGCTGAACTCTATTTTAAAAAATTTACTTAATTTACTCTAAGCATCCATGCTTTTATTGATCAAAAAGTAAAGTTAATACTAGTATATACACATAACTTTATCGTATGTACAAATTTAATATTTTAAGACCAACATATACACATGCAAAAGATATGTGCAACAGACAAAATATTTTAGCAATACTGTTGCTATAAAAAAATCTGATGATAGTAAAATAATATAAAAAAAAAATAAAATAGCACAAAAGACAGAAGTAAAAACGAGATAATAGATTTTGTGAAGATTATACCTATAATAAATTATGAGAGGTAGAATATGATAAATCAAGCGGCTGATTGAAATAAAGAAAACCAAAAGGAGTATTTTAATATTTGTTTTCGACAGAATTTATCGAATTAAAATATTTGATGACGATATTAAAAAAAAAAGGTTGACTTAGAATGTTATGAAACTAATCAACAAACAAGCTGAAACGTTATTTATCATTATTTTGATACGCGAAAATGACAAAAAATAACTTCAACTTTCCAGGTAGAACACAGAGTCATAATTAAGTCATAATGATATCATAAGACGTCATCATGACGTCATTTGATACTAAAAATAAATTTATAAGAACAAATAAGATGATGTTTTTATGATTTTATTATGATTTCTATGTTTTATTTCGCAAGGAACACACAATAAAAGTCAACAAAAAAATCAAAATAACTTTATTTTAATTGTTAATGTCAATAAATAATCAAATTTTGTAACTAAAAATTTATAATTTTGATTTTCATGACGTCAAAATAAAGTCATTTTAACTTGCTCTTGACTTATGTGTTTCTTATGCTAAATTGTTTGTTGGGAAATGTTTGAAGAGTATGAAATGAAAATCATAAGGGAACCTGTCACAATTGTGGAATTAATTCGATTCTCCTTAAAAGATGTTGTTAAACACAAATCTAAGACATACATATTTTTTTTATATCGATTCAATATCTTAGATATAAGAGATAAAACAACCCTCCCTCAAAGCTAACACTTATACATATTTAATTCCTATCGATCATCAGTGAAACGGTGAGATGTATAGAAAAATGTTTTAGACAAAATTTTTTATAGTTTTTTTATATATTTTACAATTGTGTATTTAAATTTTTCAAGAATCTAATATTTTAAAAACTCCTATCTCCATTAATTTTGAGGGATTGTTTCACCTTAAATCTAAGAATAAGTTGACATAAAAAAAAATACATTTTTCTTTGTATTTAACAGTATATTTCTAGGAGAATCGAGTCGGTTCTGGACAGTTTTAACAGATATTTTATCAATCAAATTCGGTCTCGAAAATTGCTACGCCTAAACATCGCAATAACGACGCGAGTAGCCATCTCTCGCTAAAAAAAGTGGAAACTTTCGTCTCATAAAACCCTACTTACCACTACGAGCTGCCATAATCGGACGTATGAGCAGTAACGCAAAAGCATCTTCGACGTCATGCAGTCGTTCACCGTGACACCGACATGACTCACGACGAATATCGCGACGATGGCATAAATAAAACATCTTGCGGATGCTCGTGCGCGTATTCGTACCGCGTCGTTACAGGAACGTATACAAGGAGACAATGTTCCAACTTGCGGGGTACGATCCAACCTTATTCAACCCTTAATACAGCGACCAACGCGAAATTAAATACAATATTGCTATCCATGATAGATTTATCAAATGCACAAAACAGTCAGTCTCGACATTTATATAAATCTACTTTGTCGTGTAGAAAAACGAGAATTCCACAATTATTTCACCCTCGTTGAAACGCGACTATTCCATCATCCTCCCACAAAAAGTTAACACGACCAAGACCGCACAATTAAATGGATAAGTTTCTCTTGCTTTTTACGTGCGTTTCGAGTAGAACAATTTCGGGCTATTTATCGAAATAAAACGGAGCGGAGAAAACGCGGGTGGCACCCGATGCTCCCGGAAACGTTCCTGACGATCCTGTAGGGGGAGTTCGCGCATGAGGGTTGCAAGGAGACAGCCGCACCCTTATGAGGGTTGCAAGGCGACATCGCGACCATTTATCGACCAAAGTCGGGTGCACGTGCGCAATCGGCGAGGTTGGCGTGTCGTCCGTCGACCCTGCAGTCTCGAGAGATCGACTCTCCGTGACCGCCGTGCTTTCGAAAGCGCTTTTCTCGCGTTGGCCGATCCCCAGGTGTCCCCACCCGGGAAATCGATCTATTGTGCGATCGAGGATACTTTTCACGAGCGGCCGAGGCGTAGAAACGCGAATAAAACGCATAGCGACGAATGCGGAGGTGAATATCAAAGTTCGAAGGTGAACCATCGAGATATATCGCTCGGTCGTACGCTTGCGCGACGATATCGCACGGCGGCGTGCCTCCTGGAAATTTTATCAATACCGCGGCGGCCATCTAGTCTTGCTGGCAGTTGCTCGCGAAAAGTTACGCGCCGAACGCCAAACGATCGACCGGGGGTGTCGCCGAGCAAGCCGATCGACAAATCGACGAGGATTATCGGAACAAGAAGAGCCCGAGGCGATCGACTACGAGCAGCATGTGAGTACACGTGATAATAATACGGAATGCTGCGAACGAGATCCCCGATAGAAAGGTTCTCCGAAGGTTCTCCGGAGGAGGACATTGCGAGGACGAAGTTTCTATCATTCGATGTCGAAAATCTTAGACAGCGAAGAAAACAGCGAGAAAACAGCGAGTCTTTCTTTCAGCCAGTTTCGACGAATAGTCTCTAAAGACGACATAGTTGTGAAATCATGTTAAACGGAGTAATTGAGGTGACGCAGGTTTAGCTTCGTGTTAGACTTCGCGTTGCGGTACACCGAGTGCAATTTTCGGATGCGAAACTACCTGCTGAAACATACTCATTGACGAAGCCTCGAGATTAACAGGGACACCGAGCGTTGTAAAGATTGAAATCGGGATGATGATGTACTTCTAGCTTTCGCTTCGCGCCTGTATACGATGATACAAATGGCGATTGTATTGTGGAGCTACATCGAGAGTGAATTCCGTGGCCATTCCGTAAACGAGTCGAAAGCATTAACGTAATTGTGTCTCTTTAAGGGGGAGCCTCTACACAAGACTGTGACGCATAACTAGATCAATGAGCGATTAGAGTAGAACGGTGACTATTACGTGCTCTATCGCGCTCGGCCGCGATTCAGCCGCGAAAAGCAGTTTAGCGAGAAGGTGCGGCAATCGATGGAATTTTGCGGATATGAATGCGCAAAACCGCGCGTAAGAATCGCGTAAGGAGCCTGCGGCAATTCGATGAAGAGGGCGAGATTCACTGTCGCTGCGGCACGTTAGTAAGATGCGTTTTAAGACGCAATTGCCGAGGCTTGTCGCCGCCAATCGATCCTCCTCGCACGACCCGCGTCCGTCCGCGGCACACGGCAGAATTTCCGATAGAGTGCAACAGAGCTCCGCGATGCCCGACACGTATACTTGCTTTCAAGAGAAATTAATCATAACGCGGCCTACAACCGCTGCGACTCTTCGAATCTCTCGAGGGATACACCATATAATGCACTGACGCCACTGACCCCATCCGACGGGAATCTTTTATCTAAAGAGTGGAGTAAGTGGTGAAAAAAGTATTGACGAAACAGGCACGTCGCGTGAGAATTTTTCGCTATCTCTATCGGTTATATTACTTCACTGAGAGAAAAAAAATGGTTGCACTTTGTGTGTAATTTATGATCTTTTTTTTGGGACAACTATATATTTAATATTGCTTGGTTGTTTTAATCATGCAAATATACTTAATTTTACTGTCAATGAAATTGATAAATTTTTGATAAATTTTTAGTTTTTTAAAAATATATTTTTTTGTTATTGTTACCATATAAATATAGTGAATTTAAGAAAATGATTACATTCGCTATAATTGCGATTGTATTTACTAGAAAAAATATCTATTTCATTTATCACACATTTATATCTTGACTATATTAATATTTGAAGTTATCATAATTTGCAGCACAATATTTTCATGTTTGAAAAATCACATATATGATTATATTACTAACATTACAGCAACCATAAAAATGGAGCTGCTAACCATAATTATTTTACCATGCAATTATAGTCACGAATACTAAATATTTTTTTCTTGGTGTTTCAGATTTGTCATTGACTTTTGTGTTGATTATTTTACATTCTGGATGGATTCATTTATTTGTCTATTTATTTATTTGTTAATGGCGGCAATAGAGAAAACTAAACATGGTAATCAGATAGTATAGCACGATAGAACTACCTTAATCAATCTCGCTTTTGAACGCAGACTGTTATAGCTTTCTATTTCTCTTTCTAACTTTTCTCATTATGACCTTTCGCATCCGGTTTCCATCCACCCAGCTCGATTATACGCAATATACTCATTCAGCCAATCTCGTAGGCGTATTTATAAGCATCGCTGTTATCTGCTCAAATATTTCGCGATCTTGGACAATCTTGATGAAGGGGTGACTCAAGCAAAATGATTTAACTATCGGCTATCGTTACGACACCTACACGTCGTTGGCAAGTAACTATGGATCTTTTCGAAGGACACGTGATAATTTCGGGTCACTTTACAATCGCAATGCGAATTGCGGGGAAGATTAAAACGAAGATTTCGAGCACGTTATCAAATCTCTTTTCATTTCGACGAATTTCTTTGTATATTGAACAATCGCGATTAGAGTAATCGCAATCGACGCGATTAATTATCGCGCGTTCTTTGCGCATTTTGCGCACTCGACGTGATCATTGGATGCCTAATTGTGATCATATACGAACACATACATATATGTATAGTCGGGATCAATTGCGCGAAACGCGATGCACTGCTACTACATGTCGGCTCGCAGTTTCTATATTTAGATAATCAATGATGAGCACATTTACGGCAATGTTCTATGGCTTTGCTAGACGGAAAGGTGCGCGTACGTACGTAACTTACACATGCGTTACAATCCGGGTGGCGAACAATGAACCGTTCGCCGGATTGTTCGATCAGAGACGACGGAATGAATCCTTGGAGTGGCGGTGAACTACAATATACCGACTACAATTTTTTCCTTGAAAGTTCCGATTTAATAGACTATAAAGAATTACTGCTTCCTGAATTATTGAAAAACTATTGATAATAAAATTTTTGTACCAAATTAATATCTCACATGAATTCGACGATTTTTTAAATAAATAATTTGTGATAAAAATTTGCTATGTTAATTTCATGCATTTTACACTTTATATATCTTACTTTCATTATTTATTTTAAATGTCTTGCAAGTATAAATTTTTTGTCTTCGATGGTACTCTCTCTGAATGAATTTCTCAGCAAAAAAGTACAAATAAAAAAAAGCAAAGTATAAAAAAAAATGTTAAGCTTACTGTCTACGTACAGTACAATGCAAATATCCCATAAATATCCATCATTCAGTGCGAGTTATACTAATCTAATAATAAAAATAAAGTAGTATTCGCGATCGATGTATTAATTCCATTATGTATCCTATTTTACGTCATGGGATGAATATTTCTCGACATTTGCGCATACAATTCATAGCTATGGCGATCGAATAATATTTCGATACGTACCGTGTCAAACAGCTATATTATAAAATAAACAGTAACAGCAGAAATTTTCATATTCATCAGAAAATATTTCAATAAATCAAAAAATTTATTCGTATTTTTAGAAACAAATTCTCGCGATAAATAAATATATTGAAACAATCAACAATAACAGGAGAAATTACCGAACCGTATCGAAAAAATATTCAACGATGAGCAATCAAACTGTACTAATATATGAAAATATCGTAAACATTCAATTTAGAATAATTATATATAATCGATATAATTATTTAATTTTAATCAAATTAAAAATAGAGAGATAGATGAGAGAACATAATGGTATGAATTACTGATTTTATTAATTATTCTGCTAATTCTGCTACAATATTACTGGAATTGCGTCGAAATTTCGCGACAGATACCGGACGACGGCGACCGAATATTCCGACGTCGCGTCCGACATCTCAATGGGAACGATATGGAGGAGAAGCACGTACGACTCTCTTGTATGTTAAACTATTCCCACCGACGGTATTCGAATAGTCGATCGATCGGCTGTTGCCACTCGGTCGTTCGATCAGCTAGGCCAAAAATAAAACCCGCAACCCGTTGCCGACCGCTTTTCAATCCGCCATCGCGCGTAGCCGGCATTTTTCCAAATCGTAGTATCGTAACTACGAACACGTATCACTCGTAATCTCTGCGATTTACGTCACGTATATCCGTAACAAGATATTTATACATATTGATAAGCACGGAGCTTTTTCTGCAAGAATTAATATAGATTCATCGGTTTTATTACGATATAATTGCGTAATTTTTTTCCTAATTTTATTTAGCCAATTAATTGATAGTTCACAACGACATACGACAATTCTTATTCTTATCGACCGTATTGTTGACGCAAATTACAGCTTTTATTCTTGTCGACGATTATTTAATTGATATAAAGAATATATTTAATGAAGACTTTATATACGATGAAGAATATAATGGCATGTCGGAACAGGAATGGAAGATTTAATTATCCCGGTACATAAGTTGTTGAGTAATTAAATTGATATTGCTCGCAGCAGTACCGCAAAAGGTCTCGCTCTGTCTCTTTGCAAAAGGTCAAATAGCTTGTCGGAAATCCCATAGAAAAGAGATTTACAGAACGATATGCATATCCATAACATGTATATACATGATTTCTCACCCAAGCATTTCCATATATAGTAGATGAAAAGGTCTGTGCATCTAATCCTGTTTATAAAACGGTCTTAAACAATAAAAGATATTGTTACAAAGTGCTTTTTCTCTCGTAAGTAAGGTTTAAAATTAATTCGACATATAAAGAGAAAGAAAAAAAGAAAATGAAAAGGAATGTAAAAAAAAGAGAAACACCTTAAATATTTTCGATTAATCAAAAGTATCATAAAGATTTAGGAAACGCATGACTTCATCCAAAATCTTAATGAAATGCTCATAAAGTCGTTCATAACGATCTCGATCGTTTCAAATATTCGCGTGTAGTTGCACGTGCGTTCTGAATTACAATCTCCTGGGGTCACACGAGTAGCCGACATTATCAATGACCTTTTCTCTTTCCGTATCCGCTTGTCCAACAAACACGTTTTAATCATGAATGCGCCCCGGGACAATGTACTTGTATCATCGTCGCTTCGTTGAATCTTCTTAAGAAACAAGTTGGAGGGAAAACGCGTGGTCCAAGTTAATACGCATCGAATTTTTGCTACTAAACGGTACAAATGGCGAAATCGTGTCATGAACTTTGCCCTTTCGCGGCGCTTTCCACCCGCGGCTCGATATGGGGAAAACCTCACGCAGCACCATAGGGCAAAACGATGGCATATAATTCGCGGCTTGCGCGTTCCGGGATAAGCGACACCCACCTGAGTGTTTATTTCACTTTTTAAAGCTATCGAAGAGAGACGCACGGAGGAGATATATAAATAAATCCCACGCCGTACACAAATCGCAAAATACAAGCGATATTGATAAATACGCGTATTTGATAAATATACAGTTTCTACGGTATGTGTTATACGGATGGCCTAAAGATTTTCACCTCTATCGACCCTTATTTATCAACATTCAACTCAGAAAACATATTGACACGAGACTCGCTGCACCGAGAAAAAAATGACTAGATTAATTCTGGTTGAAAACTGATGAATCAGAATTTTCTGGTTAATACTCGTTTCTATCAACGTAGTTTAAATCTGAGTTCAACTAACTCTTCATCTTTTTCTAATTCTAAAAAGAGTAAGTTGAACGAGATTAAGATTAATCTGCATTGCGATATAGAAATGAACATAAGTCTACTAGAATTCTAGTTGAGATAATCGAAATTCTCCGATTGATGTAATCAGAATCTTTTGCCTCGTCAAATATTTTTCAGTGTCTGATTATTCTATTATATATTTTTTGTTGTTTTATTATTTTCTGAGGTATTAAATTTTATTGATGTTATACCAACATTTCCGCGCGAAGTGATATATTCGTAAAGGATCGCGTTTGTTTAACCCGATTGTATCGTGATGATACATTGGATGTGATAACGTTAATTGTCATCTTCTCGAAATCGCGTCTTTGTTCGCAGGGCTACGGAGGGTGGTTTAGCACCGGATGCAGCTGCAGGTGCAGGCGCCGGCACCGACGGCATCGTCGGTGGCCCCAGAACGCCCCAGCAAATTGCCTCGCAGAAGCGGCTGCAGGCGACGCAAGCGCAAGTCGACGAAGTCGTCGACATCATGAAGACAAATGTGGAGAAGGTCCTCGAGCGCGATCAAAAGCTCTCCGAGCTCGACGATCGAGCAGGTGAGATCCACTTTTCACGCAGCCGAAAATTCTGCGTTAAGAAAATTGACGAGGAAGCTCGTTTTGATCAAAAGTTGAAAATTTTCATTTAATCTTAGTCAACGCTTAATCCCCTAAAATAGATTCTATTTTGCTAAATTGTATAATATAATACTTTATTTTATAATTATGCATATTGCTTCATTGTCACACTGTACTTGCTCGCGCGCACGCGCTCATTAACACTGATGTAGTCATTAATTATTATATACGTCACTTGATTGTTCTGCTTCTACGTCAGGTACTTACTTATTCATGGTAAATATCATTTGTTGCACGTCAAGAAATTAATTAATGCCTTGGAAAAGCGAAAATATATGTTGCTGTATCTCCGCATAAAAGAATATCGTCTAAATTTTTAAAAAGATATAATTATAACACGGATTCAGATCACGAATTGTATTGTATGTATATCACGACGCAATATTATATTATTATTCACGATCAATGTGTCGCTATACTGAATAGAAGCGCAAAACAGAAAATACGGTCGTGGGAAGACTACTCCTTCCATTCATGGTATCGTGGCAATAAAGTAGTCCGACTCTGCGCGTCTGACTACACGTTGATATCGATTACTGTGACACACTCGATGCCACGTTATGTGGTTATGGCTGATAAACGTCGATCTTTTATGCAATACGCACGTACTTTTATTATTTGTGTAAACATATACCTATTTTTGCACTAATAAATTATACATTATTTTATACTCTCATTAAATATTTTTGCATTTTTTCTTTTTTTTATTTTTCTTTTCCTTCTCGAATGAAGTTACACTGAAAAAAATTTACTAAATCTTAATCATATTTTTTTTAACAGTACTGTCAATTTTTATTTACAGTAAATAAATATTTATTCAATAAAAAAATGACAGTTTGATCAAATTAATGGTTCCTGTATCAAATAAATATACGTTTACATTTAATAAATATTTAGTTAATATTGCCCAAATAAATATTTATTTAAATTTAATATATATTTTTTTTTTCGCTATACGTTGTCCCTATCAATTATTAATATTAGAAAACAGTTCTTATTTTGAGAATTCTTTTTTCTCCAAGTTATACGTAAACATATCTGAGATAAATCGAATGACACCTACGTAATTGGCTTTTGCAGATGCACTTCAACAAGGAGCGTCACAGTTTGAACAACAAGCAGGAAAATTGAAGAGAAAGTTCTGGCTACAGAATCTAAAAGTGAGTGTCAAATTCCATTTTAAAAATTTTATGACAATATTCGAAATATTAATAATAATTTTGCGATTTGTTTTTTTAACAGATGATGATCATTATGGGTGTAATCGGACTCATTGTACTGGCCATCATTGTCGGTAAGTGTTTTACTGATTCATTAACGTTTAACAGTTGTCGACATTGCCACTGTAACTGTTTAAATGTTCTGTGCCATCTCGTCGATGTATATCTCGTCCTGATTTCGAGCGACTAATTCAGCGTTATTTCCTTTTTTTCATCATCCATTTGGACACGTGAAAGTGTCGACCATTTATGTAAATAAAATATCATAGAAATTAATATTTATTTTTAAATTCATATCTGACAAATATGAATTTTTATTAGATAAATTGCCGTTTAGAATTTATTTTGACGGTGATCATTGCATTACATTGAATCAGTCGTTCCTATCTAATGTCTCTCTGTCGATCTATATCCTTTGTGCTAAGGAAACATCTACTACGTACAGACGATTGTGTTTGCACGATGCGAAAGACGTCGCGATGTGAAGCGAAATGTCCACGGATTTGCATAGCTTTTGAGAAATCCTTTCGGAAAGATCTCTTGAAGCTTCTCAAAGAAATGTGCCGAAACAAACTGTTTATCGTGCTTTGCCTGAAAATTACGTCGACTACTTGGCCTCATAATTCATCTTCACAAAACTTTACCAAAAATATCATATTCGCGAGCCTTTTTCTCTAAATCCTTTTTCTCTAAATTCCAGAATTCTTTAAATTTTACAAAAGTTTTACATATCTCCTAGCAATATCGTTCTGCTGCATTTTATGACCGAAAAATGAAAGTATATTACTTTTTTTTGCAAGAACACGTCTTTATCGCGCGGAATACGAAATGCGCGAGAGACGCCACTATGTAGCGTGATCTGTTGGAAAAAGTGGCGTCATTTTGTCTTCCTTTTTTTCATTCATCATCTAACACGTGTGAAATGTATGTATTTCTCTTTTCCCGTCTAGCGAACTTCATGTAGGCGCGCTGATTGGTGGAAGAGATTTGTGTGTGAGTGAGTCTGAAGGTAGAAAGCAAAACAATTGCGATATTGCGTATCGTTGTTTCTCACCCCGTTTCTCTTTTTTACTTGTGTCGTAGAAAATGTACACCTGAACCCGTACGTTTCTTCAATTCCATTCTCGTTGTTTATCGTCCGACACGTAAAAACTCCCCTCGTCCTGATATTTCAAAATTGCCTCTAATTTTGACAAATCACGTACCAAGTGTTGCCAGTTTTATAAAGAATTCATCGGATATTTTTTTCTCAAAAAAATAATATATAGTATATAAGTATTTTGTAATAAACTGTTATATTAATTATGATAATTGTGATATACAATTATCGTATTACTACTGTAACATTTTATTATTATTATAGTTTTTTTTCCATATTGATCTTGCAAAAAAACATACAAGTACATCCGCGTTTTTATAAAACTGGTATTTTTAGTCGATGTTTATGTATATTATGTCTGCCTGTGATAGGAACTTGCTCTATCTGTTGCTACGTAGAACTCTCCATCACTGTCCAGTATCGTTGCATATTTATGAAGTACTGATTTAATTGGGAAGCGTTCCAATTAAGAATCGTGGCGGTACACCGCGAGCCTTCATAAATCTTCGACGACATCCTTCCTGACTCCCTTCTCTTATCACAACACAGCGTACAAGACAACATTAAGTGTAAACAGTACGTAAAAGTTGCCGTCATGTGTTTTCTCACTAGGAATTTTCTCAGCATTTGATCCGACGTTTTGAGCGTCTCTTTAAAGTCCATAAGACGGAAAAAGCGACGCACCAGAAAATCACTTTATCATGATTTTAACAGTTTCAATGTCATAGATATTTGTTACAACGGTGTTGACTAAAAAAGCCCACTTTAGACGATCTATAATTTACATCAGATTTTCAAATAGGACTGTTCTGATGTCTACACTATATTGTTTTTTTTTTACATAGTTTTTTTTTAGATAGTATATAAAATTATGAGATTATCTTGAATTTTAATACGAATTATAGATCGTGAACCTTAAATGTATTGCGTAAATTAATTTTGAAACAAACTATCGGTTTCTTTAATGAATACCGATAAATTTTTAAAAAGGAATGTTTGCCAAGACACGATCATACCTTACCCTCTGTGTGTGTTACGACTGTAATCATTGTTATGTGTCTGTCTGTACTTTTCGGTGGTATCCTCTTTCTGAAGTTGGTCCCAGGCAGTGATTTTCAAATTTCTGGTGGTCAATTAACAAAGAAAAAGACACCGAAAAAGTGTAACACACGTGAAACAGGCTGAACAGCTTTAAACACTGTGATTCGCAAATTCTGCGGTGGCAATAAAGAAATAATACAAAATACCACCCAGAAATGAAAACATAAGAAATGAAAACACCACAACGATAAACGACAACATCAACAACAAGCACAATATCGACAACAGTAAGAATTATCAAACAACTACAACTATAACAAAGTTTCTGTTTAATCCTATTCTACTCTTCGGTACGGTAAGCTATGATTTTATTGTTGCACCCGATATTCTATCTTTTTCTCTCTTCTTATGCCAAAATGCAATTCAAATCTTCTTCAATTAGCACTTTCTCTTACATTTCTTTATTTTATTTATTTACTCATCTTTGTGTATAATGAAAAAAAATTCTGCTAAAAAATACGAAATGTATAATTTTCGTTAATTTTGTAAAATATATTTTTGATCTCTCGTAGTTAAAGGTAAAAGTGACAACAATAAATAAAATAATAAATAACAAGAAAGAGCCAGATTTTTATGTATTTCAAATTCTTAGAACATAAATTTTGACCTTATTATTAAATTCTCAGTGTATACATGTAGAGAACGCAAATTTAACAAAATTAAACGGTTAGAAACAATTTCTACAGATTATAGTCACCCAAAGTGTTGATAGTATTCCTTCATATCTATCTTTTGTTACAATAATGTAATGCAGTCTTGTAATATTCTTAGTTACATTCTTCTATTATACCGGTTGCAATTAGTCCATAATGATGATAAAATTATTTAAACATGTTGAGTCATTCAATAAAAATGTATCACATTTTCGAATGCGAATGTTTAACAAGAATATAATATAGTTGAAACAATGAATCAAAATAATTCACAAGAAGTAAATGCGATCAGAGTTAAAATTGAAATCAGTTCAGTCAAAAACTTGTATTATGGTAATATATAATATTACATTTATATGTAATAATATAATAAAATATTATAATAAAATATTTTATATAATAAGATAATAAAAATATATTTTAAATCTCTAAATATTATATATTTCAAATCTCTATACATTTAATAATTTAATTTTTAATTTTGCATTCATATATATTATATATACAAGATTAATTATAATATTATCAATTTAATTCATTTTTTGCATACAGTAAATTCGTACTTATTACATTGCATGTTTCTCTTTTTCTCTCTCTTTCTCTCCCATCATTCATCCTCTTCTTTTCTCTTAAATAACATTCTTAGTACAGCGCGAAACTCATACACTGTATATATTGTCAAGATATGCATATTTTAATAATCTTATACATTCCAATATTATAAAGACGAATCATAGCAAAAGTTTCTGGGACGATCTTCGCGTATCGTGCTTGACCTCTTATTGCGGGGCATGTGCCATTGATTTAATTATTTATTCCTCGATTGAAAGCCGATGTCGGCATAGCGTTGCATGGCTTGTACATTATGTGGAATGTGCCAAAAGCTTCTAACGCGAACAATTTCAGCCAGAAATTCGATCAGAATTTCCAGTGAACTGCGGCGAATTTTGTCGCCTACAATGTGAAAAGAAAAAAAGACGGACTCCGGATAGAACTTCTGGCAAAAAGCGGAACTTTGCCACTAATTATTTTTGCAGAGGAAAGTTTATGTATCATGTGTATCGAGTGGTCTCTGTATATACGCATTTACGCTTCTGTAACTACTTGCATGCAATTTTTCTTTATCCTTATGGCTAATGGATTGTTATATGCTTTAAGTTGCGAACGTCAATGAGTTTAGTTTATCAAACGCATCGTCGTGGATATAACGGCGTGAATATTTTTCATTGAGAACATTTCAAAACTATTAAAACATATAAACTTGTATTCTTCATAATCTTGATCTTGATATCCACTAAATTTAAACGCTTGTCCACGACGAGTGCGATCCGCCATGAGTCTCCGCATGCGAAAGATGGCGAAATAAAGAGGAAGGAAGCAAAAAAAAAAAGATGGAGAACGGAAAGAAAAACAAATTTAATAAAAAGTCGAAGAGACAAAGACTAAGAGCAACATGGGGCGAATCATTGCCGTCCCTTATTCATTGGAGGAGAACAAATGTTATTATTGTTTTCAGCGAGCGTCACCGGCGGCAGCAATACGCAAAATTGAACGCGAGAGTAAGAGCTAAAGTAAAATAACGTAACAACTACAGCAACAATAAAAAGAAAGGTAAAAGGAGAAGAGGAGGAACAAGAATGAGAAAAGAAGGAAGAAAACGGCGGCTGAGAAATTTCCGAAGAGGAGATGGTTTTTAGAGGGATAGATCTCGCAAGATGGAAATTGTGATGAGCCGTTGACGAGCTCTGCCGGAGTTCTCCGCGAACGTAATCGTCGGATCGATCGCGCGCGGGAATCAATCGATCGATGGTCGGCCTTGGGATTCATCGTGGGAAAGGAGGAAGGATGACGGCGGATGATCGGAAGCAGGAAACGTTGATCCGAGCGGGAACAACGAAGAGAGCCGTCGCGACGACCACGGAACTTTCCTGTTATCCTTCGTAGCGTTTTTTTTTTCCTTTTCCGGATCGAGTAGAGGAAGTCGAGGGATCCACGCCGAACCGGCACGCTCTCCATATCTCGCATGGACGAAGGTTGCGTCGACGATAATAACACGTGCGAAATTCCGCTGATTTCTCGATCATTATTTCATTGCGTTATTACTTTAGATTATCGTTTAATATAATTGTACGTAAAATTTCATTCTTACCACGCTCTTTTCGCAATAGTACGTTATTTTGAGGAACGTTAATTCATATCTTAAGTTTCGGCGAATGTGAAATTAAATTGAAAATACACAGATCTTAACGGATTTAAGATATCTTAGATCTATCTTAGGTCTTAGTCTAAGTCGGAGATTTTGTTAGATAAACGGAATTAAAACTGATCCTATTAAAATCTCACGATGAGATGATCTAAACGCAGCTGATTGATAAGACGAGATACGTGCATCGCGCTTTCCTTCGTCCATCTTCGTTAATTAAGATTGTCCGAAAAAAGTTAGAAAAAATGAGAAATACAGAAACAAATGGTTATTGTAAACAAAGAAGCGAAAAGTTCGTGAGAAAAGAGGGAAAATTCGATATAGCAGCGACACATAATACTTAAATATATAGGAAATATATATATATGAAAAAAAAAATATATATATATATGTATAGAAAGAAAAAGATAAAGAAAGACAGGGTGTCCGTAAAAACCTCCATCATGTAAAACCTCTCCGACGAAGGCAGTTGCTGTAGTACATACGCGACGCGTTCATGATGTATATCGAGACATTTACTTTATAGACATAAATGTAAATCACGCAAACTGTAAATAATATATCATTTGTCTCTCACACGCCATTTATCGGATTCAATCCGCTCCAATTATATATTGAAAAGAATCACTTGTGTCCTTTAATTATTCCTTTGTCTTGCATCTTGCTTTTTGCTTTTCGCGAATTGTAATGGAAAAGAAAAAAATCGATGGATAGGGAAGAACGGAATAGGAGGGAGAGAAGCAAAAGAAAAAGAGGGAGAGGAAAAGAAATAATAGTGACAATCGCCTGCCTTCGTCGAAGACGGCGATTAACGTTTTCGAGCAGCCTGTGTACAGTAAATTTAAGAAATAATAAAGAATGGGAAAGAAAAGAGAAGGAGAAATGAAAAGGGGAGAGGAGACGAAGGGGGTGGAAAAGAAAGCCTTGTTGTAGGGAGGCGCAGCAGCTATAAGTAACGTTTTATGGCTTTAAAGATGAATTATCTACAAGATGTTATGTATACATGTTAATAATAACGATTACGATGATGATAATAATGGTAATATTAATAATAATTATAATAAAAACGACGGAGAGGGGGTTGCTTTACCCACTTCGCGGATGCGATCGCGCCGAGAAAGAAAGAAACTCTTGTCATCTCGATTCGAGAATATCCGAGGGTAAGGTTCCATCCTCGATCATCTTCTTATCGTTCATCCGCGAGATAAGACGTTTATTAGCGACAAGGGTATATTGCGCCCGACACGCAGATTATTCGTCGACGAAGATCGTCGTCGATCTCCGACGATCCTATCCGGTCCCTTTTCTTCTTCCGTTCGATCCTTACTGACTTCGGTGCTGCTGCTGCTGCTATCGCTGCTGCTGCTGCTGCTGCTGATTCAGCAATAATATCGAGAGACGAAAATTAACCATCGTCCGCGATCCTCCTCAATTATTCCTCCCTTCGATCCCACTCCGACGCGCGATATTTGTGGATATGCCTGCAGGCGCCATTCCGTCGCGACTTTCGGACGCGACGAAATTCACCAAGAGAAAGAAGAGCTTTTCATCGAGTCGATCGGCAGAATACGATCGACTTTGCTTTCGTTCGCGCCGGGATTCACTTTAGGAAAAATTTTAGGAAGCGAGATTTACGACAATATTTCAAATATTAATTGATTGCAATTATTGAACGATCTGATTATGTACTTAATCATAGCGTTAATTGGTCAAAATAAAATAAAGAAATCATCTAATCTTCTTCTACCTTTTTTCAAATTGATTTTTCTTACATAAATATTTGTTATCTAACAATTTATTGTAATTGATTTCATGACATTGTTAAAAATAATATTGATAATCTCATTGAGGAATCATTGGGGACCACAAGTTGTTAATGCGATACGCTTTTTTTGTTGACTCGCGAAAATCGCAAGGATGAAAAAGCGAAGGGCCGATCGACGAATGAGAAATTCTTCGAAATTGTCGCGCGAAATGGCTGCACATCCGAGTTATAATATTTAAAAACAATCATTCTATGTTTATCAACTTATGAACACATAGCTGTACGTCATATCTTAACCGTGTCGACGTATCCCTAATTATTAACGACGAGTATGACCCTGATGCTGCGCTTTGAACAATTGTACAGTATCGAATAAAAAATACACTGCGTAGTTGAATTGAAGTTATGAAGAGGCGACGAAGAAGGGGATCGATTATAATTTTCTTTTTTTTTTTTACTTTTAATCAAATCGTACTTCGATAAAATCCTTACATATACATACATATACACGTATATTACTTTTTATAAGCACACCGACGTTTCTAAGAATTTTATTACTGCATTTTATATTAATGGATAAAAGCCACGCGTTTCTCAGTTCTTTCTTTTATTTTGCTGCATGTAAAAGAAAACAAGATTCGTTTCTAAGAAGAAAAGTTTTATTCGGTTATGACTGGAAAAAAGTTAGAAAAATTTTTTAACACCTATTGACGATTGAATATATATTGCAATGCGTCTTCCAGGAAGAGGATCATTATAAAGCCTAATATCCGTTAAATCCAAAAAGGAGGTAAGAACAATAAACTTGCTATTGTATGCCGGTGTACATTTTTTAAATATACTTATCTACTTTCTTAAGAGTTTTATTTTTATATTCTTTCTTATTTGATTTCAATCTTTACTTCCTCAGTGGAGCAGAGTCGTGGAATAGCATGCTAAGTGCTATTATAAAATGATGTGCAATATGTGCTTTTTTAACTGACAATCGCGTGATTGTATAGTATATTTCAAAATTGTTAAATTAAATATTTTTTTTAATATATAATTTAAAAACATATTTTTATAATTAGGTCATAATCATTTCCTCAGTTATTAATTTATTAATGAATGTACGATCGATATTTCCTTATAATTAAACTCTATTGGAATCTAATTTTTTTATACTTTTTTATATTTTTTGTCGATTAATAATTGCAATAATCTAATTGTAACATTTATTATCAGTAGCCTCGCGATACTGAAAAAAAATCATAATAAACATGTTATTTTATCTTTGACTTTTATTTCTCTGCATTTGCATTTTCTCTTAAGAGTTTTTTTGTCCGTAACAGTTACGTAAAATATGTGCTTCCATCTCATTGTGTATTCCATTATTCAGTTATTATTATTTCCCACTGTCAAGGAATCATCACATATTCGTTTAAATATTGCTGTGTTAATAACATGAATATATTATAATATAATATAATAAATTCACATTCCATGTAATCGTTTGATCGAAAGTAGAAGACACGTCAGTGATATGTGTGTGTCCAATTACTGTCGCTTCGTAATTATTTCATTCACTGTCCATTTGTACAACTGTTTCAAATTAATGTAACAAATGGTGCCGGGCGCGCGCACATATGTTGAAATTTAAAGTAAAACACGACAATATCTACACACTATTATCTAACGGAATAAAATCACTTTGAGAGAGAGAGAGAGAGAGAGAGAGAGAGAGAGAGTGAGAGAGGGAGAAAGAGAGATGACACTGTAATATAACACACTTGTTTAAAAAAAAAGTGAAAATATCAATACAATTTCTGTGTTCTAGCGTTGTACAACCTGTATTTTTTATTTATCCAAATTATATGTTTCTGTGTGTTAATTATAAAAATGTGGGAATAAAAAATATCAAATACGACATATTATTTTTATGCCGTAGGTAAAAGATAGATCCTATGATATAAAAAAACTAACAGAGATATCACTTTTTCGATAAATTATTCTCGACTCCTATTAACAGTTGTGATTTTTTTCACTTTATACTTTTTTTCGAAAAGCTGTTGTATTCAATTAAACTCGGTATTCAATTAAAACTTTAAAACAAAAATGTTTAGAAAAAAAATATATATATATATTATATATATATACTATATCTATATATAATCATATTACTCTTAAATGTACAATGGAAAAAAATTCTTTTCTTACTGCTAAAAAAAAATTCTAAAAGTTTACTCATAGCTAGTATTTTATTGAAGTTTAATCCTTTTTACCTATGCAGTACTAAATAAAGTACAATAATAAATTAATTAATTAATATTAATCAATGTTACTCTTCAATATTAGTATAACAAAAAACAATTTAAAAAACAATCAAGAAAGTGGGCTCTAGTAGAATCAAGCGAACGAGCATGGACAAATACGATTGAACAACTTGCTTCAATGAATGCAAACAATGCCATCATACCGACAATTCATTGAAGCAAATTGTTCATTCGTGTTTATTCACTCGATCTCTAAATCTCAATCCGGTTTGATACATCTTTCTGACAAACATGGAACTGACATACATGGAATAAATCTCTCCTCAAAAATTTAAAAAACTACTTCTATAGATAAAAGATGTTATATTTAATATAATAATGTGCAAGAAATTTTTCGTATCGATCCCCGTTATCGTTTTACGTTATAATTCTAAAACGCTCTGATATCAGACACTAATACAATTTTCATTTGAACGTTTCAGTGAAATTCATGCCGGAATCGGCGCCGGCTCCACCTGCGTACAACTATCCACCGGGTATGATGCCGCAGGGTACGCTGCAAGGAGCCGCGGGACCTGGTGCAGCTGCGGGTGGTGCAGGGGGGACGGGCGCTGCAACAGGGGGTGGTTCGCCGCAAACCGCTGGAGCCGCGTTCGTCGGCAACCTGAACGCCGGTATGCACAGCGTTGTATAAACGACACGACGTGATGGTATTTGGGATAAAAAAGAAAACGAAGAGGATTCTGACAACGACATTATCCGCGGAAATAACTGGTCGACATATTCGCTTCGGCGATCACCCATCTGTTCGAATTATCGTCGGTACATCGAAGAGCACGATGGAATAATCCGGTAACTCCATAAACATAGAATCTGCTAAACGAATTTCAGAAGTTATGGATTTACATCGTTTTCTCGAAAATCCTTCGACTACCAAGCGTCTAATCGTCTTTTATGTTGAATTATTTTATTTCTTCGTCAACGTGATATTGTAATAATTAATTCCATTATCCCTACTATTAGCAATTATCCTTACAATTACTATGCAACAATATTTTAGACAAATTGCCTTTACGTGATTATTCACTAATTTTTATTCAATTGTATTTGCACCTTGTTAATCTCATAGTCAAATCTTAAGTTATTTAAGTGGAAGCGACATATCGACCGGTCTTTTCGTCGTTCAAGAAGAAAGAAACGAGATCTATATTCTACCATTCCAGGAAATCAGCAGAGGCTTTATTTTCAATGAGAGTACATAATACATGAAAAACCCTATGATTACAAATTTCATGTCAGCTAAATATTCGCTAAAAAAACAACGAGCGAAGTGTCGTTCATGATAAAATACACGGGCATGTGTATCGATGTATGTACATACATACATGTACATGTACATACATTATTACGAATTATCAAAGTAAGATTCAGTCTATGTACATATATATATATAAATACAGAAATTATTTGTATGTTAAACCATGTTAACCGAATCAAAATACAGGAGAAACGATAATAGAGAGAATCAGTTGATAAATGATTTGAAAAAATTAACGTAAGTATATTTCAAGTCTACTTTTGACCGAGAAATAAAAATAAAAATGTGCGCGTCACGTAAAATATTTCATGTAAGTGATGATTTTTGTGCTTTGCCTGTACATTTATAAAAGATTGTCTCCGACAATAGGCCTTCTGGACAAATGTGAAATGGATTTTGACGCCAAATCCTTTAACTATACTAGTTTCTTTGAGATTTATGTAATTATTATAATACAATGCAATTATACGAATCGCAAAAATTATTTAATGTAAAACGTAGAAAAGTTTAACATGATTTTGTAGTAAACAAACGATTCCTTAAACACATCCTTTTTGCACGATGTTTAATATAATAGTTTTACGATTATTATTAATATAATAGTTTTACTTTATAGTATATATATCGTATATTTGAATTTATTATTTCTTGAAACAGTGTTTATACATGAGACATTTTACGACAATCGAAACTGTGACGCAGAATTCTATGTGATTACAAATTAAAATTGGTATATCAAAATATTCACATAGGACTCTAGTTGAGTCCCACTTCGTCTTTTGAAAAATTCATTATGGAAGATTCAATATGATGGTCAAAAGTGAGAAGAACCATGACTGGAAAATAAAGAAAATTGAAAAAAACACAAGGGAAATGATACACAAACATTTTGCATATGCCAAGTTAATCTATGAGATGTACGAATTTTGTAAAAAAAAATTGAACCAAAAATCTAAGATGGCGATTCCAATGTGACGGCTCAAATTAGTATAATCAAGTAAAATGGTCTCTTCAAATTGATTATAATTTTTCATGAATTATTTAAAGCTCTCTGCATTTTACAGGATTGAAACTATCTCTGTATTATGCTCCAAGAACCCGCATTATCTTTTTCAAAGGTTTAACTTTTTAAATATTTTTTTTCATTATAATATGATTTTATAGTTTTTATAATTTTTCCAATTTTTTTTCTAGTATTGTATTGTATATAAAATTAGTAGCAATTGAAAAACTTGATACTTTCAATTTTTTATTCGATAGAAATAATAAAAGCATATCCATTTTCAATGTTAGCTACGCGTGGGGCATTGGAGAATCTTTTTGTAAGAAACCTTTAAGTTCTTTAATGTTCTTTCTTGCTACAAAATAATTATTGTATACGAATACAAAGTCGTATAGCAAGAAAGAACTTACAGGTTTCTTACGAGAAGATTCTCCAATGCACCATATGTGGCAACGTTCCAAATGGCTTTTATAATTTCTATCGAGTAAAAAATTGGAAGTACATATTAAGATTTTTAACTGCTACTAATCCTTTATATACAATATTAGGAAAAAATTGAAAAAAATTATTATTTATAAAAATTACAAAACAAGAATATAATGAAAAAAAAATTTTTTTAATTAAAACTTTAAAAAGATAATGCAGGCTCTTGGAGCTTAATATAGAAACAGTCTCGACCCTATAAAATGCAGAGAATTTTAAATAATTCATGAAAAATTATAATCAACTTGAAAAGATAATTTCACTTAATTTAAACTGTCACTTTGAAGCCACTATCTTACATTATTGGTTCGATTCTTTTTTCACAAAATTCGTACATCCCATAAATTAATTTGACATATATAAAACATTTACGCATCATTTCTCTTGCTTTTTAAAATTTTTTTATTTTCCAGCTACGTTTTTCTCACTTTTGTTTGCAATGTTGATTTTTTGTTGCATACAATTCTGGTCACATTACTATTCCGGTTGAAACGTCCCATATATACTTTTAAATATTATTTAAGAATATTTCATATATGGATTCATAAGGAACATTTACTTCTTTAAAGACAGACGAGGAAGTCAGCTTGTAAATGTATAGAAGAATAGAAGATAATCGAATTATAAGAAGGATAATTATTGATTCCTACATTTTCAAGCATTGGCATAGTGATTGATAATAAATTTTGTGGGATAAACTCGAATCTCCAAAGTTGGAATTTGAAAATAATAGCATGTAATTTTTAGCAATATTAAATATATTAAAATGTTACTTAATGTTATATTATTTAAACGGAAAGAGAAGGGAAAGA